AGGTACATTTGCGGTTATGTTAAACTTATATTAAAGTTTTTCTTCATTACCCATTCAAGCCGTCTTCAGCCATTATTAAATACACAATCTACTGTTAAATCTCTTACATTAAACAATTCTTAGTAATAAATATACAATGAGTAAAATGATGCTCCTCAGAATTTGAAGAAATATTTTGTTCCTTATGGGTTACTAAAGATTCCTCTGTAATAGAACTTTCATACAACTCACTTTTGTGCATTTCAATATTGGTTGTGGGCTGTTCCTCTAGATCCCTAGTTTCTTCATTCTTCTCCTGATTCTCATCTAAATCAGAAAAATGATTTTCAACACAAGCATTTTTGTCCATGTGAATATTGTTCTGAGGCTGATCTTCCATTGGTTCTTCAAGTAGTACTTCACAATTTACACTGTTGGTACAACTGTTACTACAAATTATGTGGTTCTCATCTTCACTGATGTCTTCTCCATTAAAACTTTTTGTTTCCAACAAAAGCTCTTCATTACACAAAACGTCAATAACTTTATCATTTTTCTTTCTGTTCACTTTTTTCTTGACTATAAGGCAGTTTGAAAATACATATATATATTGAAATAATCTATAAGTAATTCATAAAAAAGAATACACATACCACTGTTAAATCTTTCTTTTACACTAAAGAAAGCTTAGTAATAAAATACAATAATTATATGTAATATTACTGATAGGTTTGAACCTAAAATAACTTTAAGAAACTTTTACAACATATGTTTTAGAGTTAACTAATATAGTGAGATCAGGGTTGTTACAAGTAATAAAACCGACTGAATAATCATGAAAGACTTGAATTGTAGACACATTGATCTGGATTATATTGAGGCAAGTTGTGTGTGTCTGTGTGTGAGAGGGAAGGAGATGTTTTTCTATAATGAATGGTCAGAGAGCCAATGAGAGAGGATGCCATTTTAGATTTAATGTTATTCAATGAGGAAATAGTTACAAAAGCTGAACATTGGGGAGGAGGAGAGAGGATTCATTATTGCATTTTTAGGTTTGATGTTTTGCTACATGTTGAGAATGTACAAAAGTTCAGTTCCTACTTTTCAGAAAGGCCAATTTTGTGGCCATAAGATAGGATTTACCATTGGTGAACTGCAATAGTAAGAGTAAAAGTTGATGCAAGATACCTTTTGGAAATTAAAAACAAAACAAAAAACATTGCTCTTAATCTTAATAAATACATTTCTAAAAAGAAAAGGAAAATTCGGGAAGATCAAGTCAAACTGATATATTAAGAATATATAGGAGAAAATCAGAGATAAATACCCTAAATTTAAGAAGTTTCAATTGACAAATAAGATGAAAGAGTGACAGAACTGTAGGAATAATAAGAATTTTGTTAAAGGATAAAAAAAATTAAGAAATGAAAAGAAGAGTTTATGAGTAACAGCTGGCTGATGTTAAAACTAATAGCCAGGTAAACAAAATGTTAATGTGGACACTAAGCCTTTAAAAGGATATTTAGATTGTGAGATGGCTTTGCTTTTATCTATTTTATTGGAATTGACCTGAATCAAGTAGATATGATTCCTTTGAGAGTATGTAAAAAAAGAGAGATGAAAAACATATAAAGCACCAGAAGTTTTAGGGGAAGAAAAAAATGAAATATGCAAGTGGCAAAACCTATTTCTTTTGTTTTTGATAGGTCAGAAAAAGTGATACTTGCCTGAGGATTGAGACGGCTATCAAATTTTAGAGTTCAGGCTGCCATAAATTCCATACATACTAACCCAGGGCTAGTGCAGTTCTGCTTGCGATAAATGTGTGCATATGTCACTGTGTAAAAATCCAACTTTATATTTAATTATATTAATTTATATTTAAAATGCTACCTCTGTTATGGTTTCTTTCAAAGTGTTAAATATCTACTGTCACTGAATATTATTTAAGATTAGTAGCCTATCTCTCAACAACAGGCTCATCATTCATGAACCTGATATAAATAACTATTAAATTATCTGATTATTTTGTTTTATACTTCTATTTTACATATTTAATTTTTGCTGGAATTAGAATAGTTACTTTTTAATGCAAAGTTTTATGAAAACTGAAACAGTTTTGTTTGGGCAAAATGCCTTGGACTATCCACTCTGAGGCCTTTTTCCTATGTGCGACAGAAAACTGAGAGGTGTTCTACACGTCAGACCTCCATGTCATTGTTCTGATTTTGTTGTATACATATACTGGATAACTTGCATACAGATTTTATCTTCTTATATATTCTGAATTAAGTCATTATTTTAAACTGAATAATTTAAAAAAGCTAGTCTATCACATATGGAGAGTGGTTTTAAACTTGAAGCCATGTTACTGGTTCCAGGTGATAGCTCTACATGTACCTTTAACAATAAAGAAGTATTAAAAAATATAAACATAAAGAAAATATTGATATAAATGATATAGTATTAACTTTGTAATACTGCAAAAGAGCTCATTGCAATATATGTATTTGCAATGTGTAATGAATGATTTAGTCATTATAGTGATAAAAAAAAATGGGTTAGTACATTTTTCATGCTCTAGCCTGAGACTAGAACACAAAATGTTATTTTTTTATATTCCTAGAGAGTTGCTAACATTATATCTATATTATATAAGGTGATAAGAGTTGCCCTGAAAATATAGACCAATTGGCCTTATGGGAAAAATTCTACAGCGTGTGATAAAGAAGCTTTGCCACTGATTTTGTGAAACACATCATAAAAGATTTCCAATACAAATTCAATACAGGGAAACCTTGTCTTACTAATCTGTTACCCTTTTCTGAGGATGTTAGTTGTTATCTGGGTGATGGAAAGGGTATGTTCTTGGTATACTTAGATTTTCAAACAGTTTTTATGAGTTTATAATATGGTGTTTCACACAGAGAATTATCAAACAAAACACAACTACACAGTTGTGTGGCTGGATTAAAAACTAATTAGATTGAAGGGTGGCTGGGTTAAAGAAAGTAAAATGTCATTAATGAAGTCCAGTCAAACTGGACCTTTGTTACTAGTGGTATGCCTCAAGATGTCAGTACTCATTTACATTAATGATACTGATAGGGACATAATTAGTTAAACCTGATAATTTCATTAAACTATGGTATTTTTTAGCTATATTGAAGATACTGAGTTACCACAGAATTGACTGGTAAGTTGGACAAATTACTTTTAATTATAGTAAGTGCAAGGTATATCTATGCATTTCAGTTATAATTTTGATCACATGATTAACCATTTGTTCATGGGCTTGGTCAAACTGAACAAACCCATATATAGAGCTGGGTGATTTAATTGATCAATAAATAGAACTGATTACCTAGGAGCACCAATTACATCAATTAGTGTCCCATAAACAAATCTATTAATATCATGAAAATAACAAGCTAACTGAAATTAATGTTCCTGATTATTCCAACATCAATTAATCAAAACTATGATTAATTTAACTGTCATGAAAATAATCAAAATTAGGATTTCTGATTATTTTATATTTTGGTTAATCCCCAAGTAATTCAAATATTACTGTTATAGAACTGAGGAAAAACAAGACAATTGTATGCTTCACAAGTACATCATTTATTATGACCACGGTTTTGCCAGTAAAGGCATTAGCAGGTACAGATTGAAATGTTTTGTAGCAGGGTTTATATATATATGTTTAAACAAAGAATCGGAAGTGACTTTGACATTCACCTAGAGACAAGTGAGGTAAGAAGTGGGGAGAAGATGAAGTTGGTTTGTTCATTTAGAACTTTTTCTGGATTTGTTTTTAGACATCTATTTATTTCTAAAATTTTCAGACTGTCATTAACTTTAGACTGCTAGCTAGAGGGAAGGCAAATGGCTGGCACCCTCCCACCAATTCTCTAGCTACTTAAGTGTTTAATAAAGTGTAAATTTACCTATTTCTTTTTACATTGTATTACATATATAATTTATAATTACTTAATTGCATTCTTTAATACTTATGGTTTTTTCAGTTCTTTTTAACTCACCATATCATAATCTAAAATCATTTAGGTGTGTGAATAATATTGTGGCATTGCACCTAATTTATTATTAGACATTACAGAGCAAACCAACTGTTTAATGATTACACTGCAGACTTATTTTCATCAAAGGTAAAAATTGAAAATATCGGCCTGCTGATCCAAGCTGTGCTGATGAGCATTGAATAGGAGAAGCTACAGTACACAGCCAATGGTACTTCGAATCAAATAATGCCTTGGCCTTTACATTACAGATACTATCTATCTTGTAAAATCAAAGCTAATTTGAAAAGTACTCAAGAAAAATGAAAACCACATAAATGGAAATAGGAAGATTAATAGCATGTTAGAATGATTCAATAGTTGAAAAATGATTGACAGATACAGATTGAGAATGATTTTTAAATATTTCTTTTAGAAATTAAGAAGCTAAAACTTAAATAATATACAAATTTGAATTATAAACATCTTCATGCAAAGTTTATTGACATACACTGGTAAAAAAGTTAATTAAATTCTGAATGAAACACTGTAAAAGGTTGTAATGTGCTTAAAAGAGCCAGACTTGCATGTGAAGGATTAAAAGACTAGCATAAAATACCTGTTCTCTACTGAGGGGTTTTGAGCCACAGAGGTTTCACTACCCACAATTACTTGTATAGCTACCCCCACAAGGGGGTTACATTCTCCCTTCCCATATATATATATATATATATATGTTTAAAAAAAAACAAAAAAAACACACACACAGATTTAA